TTTTAGGATAGTTTTAGGCTTATGGAAAGGTTGCAAATACTGTGTTTCTGTATGTATACACCCAATGCCCTGTTTCCTCCAACAAAAGATTAAAAGCCTTTTGACTTGGGGTTTTTATTAAAATTCTAATTTAGGCCCAGTCTGGCTTCCTTTAGTACCTTGACTTTGTTCTAACCCCAGTTACAATCTGGGCAAACTCCTGTGTGCTGATAAAGAGCAAAATGTCCCCCTGAAAATGCTACAGGAACGTCCCTACAGCTTCAAGCAAAGTTAATACCAAAATGCAGCAGAGAACCCAGGACTTCTTCATGTGCGCCTAATTCCTACAGTCCTGGGTAATTACAGCTCTCAGATACAGCTAAAACCTCTACATTACAACACTGCTCTGGGTTCCTGAGGTCCAGAGACCTATAAACGTATCTGTCTTCCAGAGGTCTCAGTTTAATATTTAAAGTAGCCTAAATTACGAATCTAATTAGAGGCAATGCAGAAGGGCACAAAAACTAAGCTCTCTAAAATCCACCCAAAACACGATGCTAGAGTAAAATGACCTCATCAGAATGCTGGCCCCACGTGAAGCACAACGCTCTCACTTTTCAGCGGAACTCATGGATGCAGACGTCAAGTGTTTAATGAGTTCCTACTTTGTGCCAGGGCCTGGGAATACAGCAGTGAACAAAACTGACACAGGTGTCTGCCCCTGCAAAGCTCCCATTCTACCTGGGGAGGCAGACCATACACGAATACACACACAGAATATAACACCTCAGAGTGTATGTTCTAAAAGAAAATGCAATACAAGTATTCACAGATTGGAGATCGGGGGCGGGGGGTGGGGGGAAGAAAAGCAAGCCAGGAGCAAGCCTCTTCTGGGAGAAGAAAGAGTGCTCCAAGGCAGAAGTAGGAAAGGGTTTGGAGGTTCAAGGAGCAGGAGGGGAGGAGGGGAGGCAGCTGGAGGAGGCTGGGGAGGCTCTCACTATGATGGGATGAAAACCACACTTCACCTCTGTGGTCTTCCTCCCCCAAATTCATAACTCAGGCTAATCGTAAGGAAAATGCACACAGCACCTAATTGGCACGCTTCAAAACTGTCAAGGTCATTTAAAAAAGCAAGGAAAGTCGGAGAAGCTGTAAAAGCCAAGAGGCGCCTGAGAGACATGACAACTAACTGTAATGTGGTGTCCTGGAGGGGATCCTGGAGCAGGAAATGGACATTTGGTAAAAACTAAAAATAACTGAAGGAAGTATGGACTTTAATGAATAATAATGTATCAAGACTGGTTCTTTAGGTGTAACAAATGTACCTTGGTCAAGTGTTAACATTGGAGGAAACGGGGCATTGGGTGTATACACACATGAACTCCGTATTTGCAACCTTTCCATAAGCCTAAAACTATCCTAAAAGTTTATTTAAAGGAAAAAGAGAGCATAGCATTTGCTGAGAGATCAGACATGGACGCGGAGTGCGAGGGGTCACAGCCGATGCTTTGGATATGAACAAGGCGGTGATCAATGGTGCCAACTAATGAGAAAAAATGCTGACTAAGGTGTGAAGCTGGGAGATGAAATTAAGAGCTCTTCTACCCCTCCCTTTCTATTCCTTGGTGGACAAATAAAATCAAAATACAGACAGTTATTACTTGATTTTTTTAAAAATGTCCATGTTTGTAAAAATCTCTTATCTTTTAAAAAGGGTAATTACGAAGGAGCTGGAACCTTTTATGTTTGCTTTTTGGAAAGATGCTAAATTGCAAATTTACTGTTCTATGACTGTGTGTCTCAAAAGCATATGTCTTTCCATCTCTACAACTACACAAAGTGCATCAGTCTTGGCTGCAAAAATGGCCCTGAACTCAGTGTATCTTCGAAGAATTATTTTGTTTAATCAGAAGAAGAGAAAAATTTGCGTGAGCATAACTGACTCTACTAATATGCCTGATACAATTAATATTATAACTTCTTTTAGTTTTATCAAAGCAACACACAGATATAATGAGAATGAAATTTCAACGATCTTAAATCTAGAGGCTTTTCAAATAATAGTGATTGCAGCTTTTATTTTATCCATCTATTTCATCTCTCTTCCCCTCAAATTTCATAAATTTTTATTTTCATGAGTATTTTATTTGCATCTGAACCAAAAAAACCATAGGATGGAAAGGTGTTAGTAACCCCATAAGAGAGGCAAGGGGAGTCGAGGAGAGAATAGAGTCCTTTGGAAACAGACAGACCGGAGTTCAAATCCTGGTTCTGTCTCCTGGCCTGTGGCCTTGATCTAGTAGCTTAATTTTTTGAACCTGTTTCCTCAGCTGTAAACAGAGACAACATGTGTGAGCAGGGTTGTTGTGCAGATTAGAAATAATAGTATTTGTATTAATAAATAGCTAACATTTATTGAGTGTTTTCTATGTGCCATCTACTTTACGTTTATTAATTCATTTACCACAGTGACTATGAGGAAAGCACTGTTACTATGCCCATTTTACAGGGGAGAAAACTGAGGTCCAGAGAAACTGAGTGAGTCAATCAAGATTATGTAGGAAATAAGTGATGAAGCCCAGAATTTGAACCCCAGCAGTGAGGCCTTAGAACCTGTGCTTTCAGCACCTACTGGACAATCAATGAACACTGCCACTGGGATCATGGCTTGCTTTTTATAAATGACATCAAAGTCAGAGAAAACACTGCAGCTGACCTGGGACTGAAATGCCAGCACCAGTGCAACACCCCTTTGGATCCACCTTTTAGGGGGTGGTGAACAGATGGCATGGGATGGCAGGCAGGAACCAAAGTCAGAACCACCTCGTTCTTAGTTGGCTTTCATCTTATGATCCAGGCAAAGGACTGCAGTTTAGATGGAAGAGAGTAGTCCCTTGAACAAACGAGATCTGCCGCTGGATGCCAAGTGGCTAGGTGGTTTCACATCTAGTAAAGTGGCTATAACTAAAGAAAGCCAGCTGCTGGCTTAGTGGCAGAAAGGAAGCTTCTTTGTGGCAAATGCCATGACTACATTTTGGATATGGACAAAATGAGCTGCTTAAATCCACTGATAACCAAAAGCTGAGGGGGATCAGAAAATATGGTGAATCAAATGGTTAGGATCCAAAACTAAGGAGAATTTTGGCTGCATTAATAAAAATATGGCATCCAGAATAAGGGAGGTGATGGTCTCCTTCTATTCCACTCTAGCCGGACCCCACCTGGGGTAACATCTTCAAGTCCTCACATTTAAGAGAAATAAACCAGAGCACACACAAAGGAAGATGACTAGGATGACGAAAAGAAAAGAGGACAAATGAGAACGGTTAAAAGAGCTAAGAACAATCAATTTGGGAAAAGTCTTGGAGGGCATAATGGCTGGTCTATACAACACTAGCTCATTATATGTCTGGTACTCGAATGGTTAAATATAAAATAGTAGTTTACATAATTTGGGGTTATAAGTTACTCATACCCACCCTCAGCCCTCCTTTGCTGCGAACTCCTTCAATATTTGACTGAAATATCACCTTCTTTGCTTCCCCAATTCCCTCAGGCAGAGAAAGTTGTTCTAACCATCACAGTCAGACACAATCGATGTCTAAGGAGACCTCCACTAGGAGGCTGCATAACTGATCTGCCCACGTGACCGACAACCGCACTGGGCTGTTGGTTCTTTATGGGTAATGCCTGTCTCCTACTCATCTTTATCTTCTCAGCTTGTATTGCAGGGCTTGGCACAAGGAGGCTTAAGAAACATGTGAAGCAATAAATCAAGGAAGAAAAGAGGTCAATGGTGAGAGCTGTATGAAGGCAGAATTGTTCAACCCATGAAAGAACTTCCCAAAAATCAGAACCACTTCCTAGGGCAACGTGCACCTGTCTGAGATGGAGATCTGAGCTGTACTTCCCAGGGGAGGTCTCAAAGGGTATGGCCCACAAGACTTCTGAGAACACTTCTTATCCTGCTTCCTGAAATGTGTACTCAAATCAGACTAGAGAAAAAAATGATAGGGTTGCATATTTTCTTTTTTCCTTCTTCATTAAAAACTCTCAACAATACTACGTATCAGAAGAAAGACATTCAAATATGCTTTGCTCTTAGCAATTCAAATGGGTGTTGAAGGTAAAACATCTCCTAACATTTGAGGAATTCTTCCTAACCAGAATTCAACAGGCAGGCTGCCAATTCATCAAGCTCCAGGAGACACCGTGTCGTTCCGTGAAAGACGAGAGTGTAAATATCTACAGCCAAATCTCCATTAATGCACATCTTGGGAAGGTCTTTTGCCAAAAGACATCTAAAGATTTTTTTTAAAAAAACTATCATCTTCCAGGTAAGAGTTATGTGGAAGGCAACAAAATCTACTTATTCATTCAGCAACAATTTATTAAACGACTTCTCTGTGGCAGACATGGGGTCACGTCAGCTCAAGGCTGTTCTAAGGGGAAAAGGGGAGGGAGAAGCTGAAATGTCCCTCTGATCTTACCCGGTGTTCATTGATGAGAAGGTCCCGTGCAGCATTAAATATCAGCGTGTGGAGGTGCTTTGAATAAAACACCAAGGTGTAATCATAATCGAAGCCATAGATTTCAATGTCTGACAGGCTCATTTCATTGTTTGAGAAAATGGCATCTGGATTCAACAAGTTGCTCATAATGGAAGGAACCAATTCTGGAAATAAAGAAAAAAAATACATTATATTACATAATAAATAAGGGTTAGTATGATTTCTAAAGAAAAAAAAATGAGTAAACTAGACTACAAAAGAGATTTGCTTCACCTTGAAAACATGCTGGTGAAGGAAGCCAGCCACAAAGGACCACATGTTGCATGATCCTATTCATATGAAACGTACAGAAATGACAAATCCATAGGCACAGAAAGGAGATTCATGGTTGCCTAGGACCGCTGACTGCTAATGGGCACAGAATTTCTTTTTGTGGTGATGAAAATGTTCTGAAATTGATGGTGGTGATGGTTCTGGGGGATTGAGATGAGGTCTCACTCGGTTAACCAGACTGGAGTGCAGTGGCACCATCACAGCTCACTGCAGCCTCAATCTCTAGGGCTCAAGCGATCCTCCCACCTCAGCTTCCTGAGTTGCTGGGACGACAGGCGCAGACCATCACACCCTACTAATTTTTGTACTTTTTGTAGAGACAGAGTCTCCCTGTGTTGCCAAGGCTGGTCTCAAACTCCTAGGCTCAGGAACAACCCATGCACCTCAGCCTCCCAAAGTACTGAGATTACAGGCATGCGCCTCTGTACCTGGCCAATGGTGATGGTTGAACACTCTTGTGAAAGTACTAAAAACCACTGAATGGGAGACTCTAAAAGGGTAAATTGTATGATATATAAATTATTTCTCAATAAAAGAACATTTGCTACCAAAAATGAACATTTGCTTCAACATCACAAAAAGGATTTGTTTAAAAAATACATGTTGCAGATTTTGGAAAGTAAAAGTATAGTTAACCAAATCTAAATATCATACGTCATCTCACCACCCAGAAAAAAACTACTGACATTTTATGTATTTGCTGCCAACATTTTTCTATGTATATATTTTGGATAGCTAACCTCACACTATATATACAGGTTTGCATTGAGCTCACTAAATTTAATATTCAATCATGAGCCTATACTTTTTGAAATAAACTATTACATGAGACTTTGACATACATATTGGTGTGCCATAGTTAACCTACTACAGGTTAAGCATCCCTTATCCAAAACGTTTGGGAACAGAACCATTTTGGATATCGGATTTTTTTGTATTTTGGAATGTCTGCATTATATCTACCGATCGTGGCTCCCTAATCCAAAAGTCTGAAATTCAAAATGCTCCAATGAGTGTTTCCTTGGAGCATCATGTCAGCATGCAAAAATTTGAGATTTGGAGCACTGTGGATTTTAGATTTTCAGATCAGGGATGTTCAGCCCATACTCTAAGTTACACATTTAAGTTTTTTCCTATTTAATAAAAATAACATTGCAATGAGCATCTTCATGTGTTAATCTTCGCCTTTCAGATGATTTCCTTCAGATGGGTTTGTAGACGTGTGACTACCTTCTACCATCAGGGTCCACTGGATGTTAGGTTTGGGTTTCTTTTTTGAGCAGTTCTAACTATTTGTAAGGATTGTTACTTCATGATTTCTATTTTTTTATTGGAAGCCTTTCAAAAATTCATTCTACCTTACAATTTCCATGAGTCCACTGAACCCTTTTAAAAAATCAAAGATGCAATAGGGGATGTTGGTGATCTTATTTTTCCAATATGCTGAAATACTTTACTATTAGAATTATTTCATCATTATCTCTCAATTATTGCCACCTATGTTTTTTTTTTTGTTTTTTTTTTTTGAGATGGAGTCTCGCTCTGTCGCCCAGGCTGGAGTGCAGTGGCCGGATCTCAGCTCACTGCAGGCTCCGCCTCCCGGGTTTACGCCATTCTCCTGCCTCAGCCTCCAAGTAACTGGGACTACAAGCACCCGCCACCACGCCCAGCTAGTTTTTTGTATTCTTTTAGTAGAGACGGGGTTTCACCGTGCTAGCTAGGATGGTCTGGATCTCTTGACCTCGTGATCCGCCCGTCTCGGCCTCCCAAAGTGCTGGGATTACAGACTTGAGCCTCTGTGCCCGGCTGCCACCTATGATTTTTTAAAAGACTAAAATAAGAAAGCAGGAGAATAAGAAATCACTTAAGATAGTGCAATAGTGAAATAAGTCATCACTATGACATCATCCTTCAGTTCTCATGGCATTGCGCAAAGAACTGCATCACCTTCAAGAAGGTATAAAAGAAGTCTGAAAACACCATCTTTGCAGTCTTTTTTTTTGTTTGCTTTCATGGAACACTGTTGAGAAATCAGTTTTTCATTTTCCATCCGTAACAGCAAAAACAAAGCTGACAGGAGAAGACATCTCGCAGTTATCAGATGTGCCAGGAGGTGAATGCAGAGAGAGACAGCAGTTCTCTACGGCCTAGTGATGACGGTGAAACCAACCATAAGGGTGACGTCTCAGATGATGAGGCCTCCATGACCATATCCTAGATGAAATTCAGGATCAAAGACTGAGCAATATATTTCAAAAGACAAAAAAAAAAAAAAAAAGTGATATTCTCATCTGGTTAACCATTTAACAGGATGAACACAATCATCCAATATTTTATGACAAAAACACGGACTATCCTATTTTGCCAAAATTATATATGACAGTGTTTTTTTTCACCTTTTATGATGTTTATGCACCAAAATTTTCTTGAAATAGCTCACAGGCAGACAAATGCTGAAGGCAGGTGATTTTTTGGAGATAGGTACATGTACATAAAACCTGAACTGTCCATATTTTACTACTTCTCACATTACTAAGGACAACCACCTGACTCCATTATAACAGCTAATATTTATTAAGCACTTACCATGTACTACATGCTATCAAGAAGACTTTACATTTTCTCATTTAATCCTTCCCACAACCTTAGGAAGCAAATACTACTTTATCCCCATTTCACAAACAAAGACACTAGAGACGCATGGAAATTACTTAATTTGCTAAGGATACACCAGCACCACATGGCAGGGTTGGGATTTGAACCTGGGAAGTTTGGCTCCAGAATCTATGTTCTTAACTCCCTTTCAGGTACATTTTTTCCTAAAATAAAATAGTCAATCCCTCATTTCTGGGCTTTCCCTTTCCTTTCTGCTCACTTCTTTCTGACTATGAATGGCACGTAGAATCCACATTCACTCTAAAGAGCCACCTGAAACATTCAAGAAGCATTCCGCTTGCATAGTAACAGCTCTAATCAGGGCCCCAGTCAGGGACCAACCCAGCCGCAGTGAGGTATTCTGAGCATTTCACAAGGCTCCTTAACAGCTTTGAGATCTGAATCCCTTTCAAAACCTAACAGAAGCCATGGAATCCTCTCCATGCACGTGCAGATTTTGTAGAAAATTTCATGGGGTTCATCCCCTAAAGCCTATTCATGGCTCCCAATTAAGTTCCCACATTGCACCTAGTTTATTAAAACCAAGCCTTTATATCTCTACACAGAATTTCCAGGTCATTGTGAAGGCACATATACGAATCAATAAATTAATTTCACTCACACTGACAATCTAGATGTGACTGAGCCTATTGAAAACCCGAACAGTCAATTCACTAACAGTTCCATCTCTTCATTCGTTTTTCTTTCATCAAAATCAATGAGACAACCACCATGGCTTTTTTTTTAAGATGAAGTCTCACTCTGTCACCCAGGCTGGAGTACAGTGGTACAATGTCGGTTCACTGCAACCTCCACCTCCTAAGTTCAAGGAATTCTCCTGCCTCTGCCTCCCAAGTAGCTGAGATTACAGGTGTATATCACCATGCCCGGCTAATTTTTGTATTTTTAGTAGAGACAGGGTTTTCACCATGTTGGCCAGGCTAGTCTCAAACTCCTGACCTCAGGTGATCTGCCTGCCTCCACCTCCCAAAGTGCTGGGGTTACGGGCGTGAGCCACCGCACCCAGCCACAAGAACCATGGCTTTCATTTTGCTTTTGCCAATAAGACGTATCTGTTATAGACATTTAAGAAACTTAGAGGCAGGCAGTTCACAAGAACTGGTCCTAGGGAAGAGGAGAAGCTGGCAGACCCAAACTCTTTGATATCTAATACCGAAGATCTTCTGGCCTTACATAAATCAATGGGCCATTGCTGATGATATTTTCCGAATATGACCGCATGGCATCGTCCATATGATGCAAGTGAAGTGGGATCGCTTACAGAGTGACCAAAAGCTCCACTTTCACAAATGACCTTTCCGAGGGAGGTTCGAACAGCCTGCTTAATTACAAGTTTATATTTAGAAATGGTGCTGGCAAGAAAGTCTCCCTCCCTTCCTGCTACCTGAGAAGACTACGCGAAGCCCTCAAGGAAAAACTACTATGATAGAAAATCATCCAAAAGCTGCATGGGAATTCCCCTGCGGGAGTGAAAGCCTGAGACACGTACATCACACGACACCATCACCTGAAAGCCTGGATGTTTAAGGCGTCATCCTCGAACACAAGAAGCAGCATCTCAAAGGGATCTTGGCACCCTGTGCAAACTTTAGGAAGAAAAGTTAAGAACAAACATGAATAATTACAAAGCAAAAGAAAAGAATGCCAACCACTCACAAAAGAGAAACAGTCTGGCTAAACTTTAGACTCTGAAGTATAAACCGAATGCCTCTTGACTAGTCACTTACGTACTTTCTCAAAGGAGAAACCAGAGTGGGTACCAATTTAGAAAGTGAATTCCTTTGTACGTAATGGATGATGACAGCAAGGCTATACAATCAGTACAAACAAATGGAGAGACAGTTCTGTTGCTGTGGCCAGAGCTTGAGCAAAACTCAGTTCCAATGCAAGCCACTCTGAGCTGGGAGCTGTGCACCCTCCAGCACACAGTGTGGCAAGCTGGGAGGCCCCTGGCACTTCCAGTTTTCAGCAGCTTCCAGCTTTTCGTCTGCTTATCCCACAGAACACTGGGAAATGTGGTGAACAACCTATAAGAAAAACTGGTAAGCTTTCTGTTTTGGTTCTGGCTTTTTGTGTTTTTTATTGTGGCAAAATATACATTACATAAAGTTTACCATGTTAGCCATTTCTAAGAGTGCAATTCAGTGGCATTAAG